CTGTGGAAAATAGCAATATTGGGAAGCTAGCATTAAATCTCTGCCAAATGAAATGTCAACAGAAGGTATATGCATCACTCACATCCAATCAGGCACTGCCTGCTCAGCATCCGGCTGCCACTCTTTGGGATCCTGCCACGGGCAGCACTGGGAGCTCAGGCTGCCTCTTGCTCTGCCTTCCTCCTTAGTCACCGGGGTGACTGCTGTTCCCCAGTCCCTGGGTGTCCCATGTTCTCTGCAGAAGGGATTGACTGCCATTAGAGACTTAGCACAACCATTTTCCCAAAGAGGAACAAGTGCTGGAAATGTAAATAGAACTCCCAAATGATGCAAGTGGAGGAGAGTTCATCTGAGTTAACTACCAACAATGAAGTGGTTTTGCCATCTCTATTATAATCTTGTCAAATCAACAAACTTATGCCATCTGAATATGCTGCATCATTTGGATTTCCACTCCAGCTATTTTCTTCCTTTTTTTTTTTTTTCCTCTTCTAAATCTTCACAATTTCCCCCCAAGCACAAACAGCAAGTGAAGGGGGAGAAAAGCAGGATAAATTGGATAAGCACAGGGAGAGTCCAGGGGGCTGTCATTCAGAAAACACGTTCTGTCCATTGGACTGACACATTATAGGCACAGATCCCACATTCATTGGTGTAAGTGAAACCATCTGTGCCACTGATCAGGTCCAACACTTGGCCAGGGGGCCCTGACTGGCCTTCCTTAGCGATGCCCCTGGGGCAGGAGCTGCAGCTAAACCTTGAAAGCAACAGAAGGGGGGGGGTGGAAAAAAAAAAGAGCAGAAAGCAATACATTTCCAAACATTTGCCATTCTTCAGGGGGCTTGAATTAAATTATGGTTTTGCTCCTATGAATGAAAAACAGGCAGGAAGCAAGACACTATGTGAATGCTCTTTGTTTGCAAATTCACAGTATGTTTAAACTTATGGGGCTGCACCTCAGCTGGTGAAAATCTGGAAAACCCTCCGAGGCTGAGTGGATGTCTGCCAGCTGGAGACAGGCTCCCTTCCACTGCTGCTTTCTGCTTTTTCACATCTCCTTGTTGATCAGAAGAGAGCACAAAACCAGAGCATGGCAAAGAATCAAATAAAATTGTATTAAGCATCAAATTACAAGAGAATGAACATTTCCGAGCATGAACAGACTCATGGATGAAATGGCTGGTTACCACAATTATATTTCTTTAAATATAGAAGTCTGAGGAAATTTTTTCAGTTCCCAAACTGTTTCTTTTGCTATCAGCCAGTTAAATAGACCTGTAAGACTGATACAATAAGTTTGTATAATAATTTCTGGATATTTTTTTTAGAAGCATTTAAAGTGGTTAAAAATGATTTGAATATTCTTCTGAAAAGAGAACAGTTTAAAAAAATCAGTGGGTTGAGCATTGTCATCCTCAAGCATCCCTCAAGAGTGACAGAGTATCTCACTCCATCCACCTGCCTTTCTAGCAAATGCAGGATATGAAAAAAAGGTAACCCAAGGCAAATTATCAGCAGACATAATTTTGAAAGGTATAGATTTTTTTGATAAAGTGTTTGAATGAAGTTTAGGTACACACAGCATTAAGGAAAAGTTGGGGTGTTGGTTTTTTTTCAACTCACAGATGAGTGTTGATACACGTCATGCAGATAAGCAGAAAAAAAATCCTTTGGCTCAATATAAAAAACTAAGTATTGTTTTCTAAATCCCACATATCAAGAATTAAGTGATTCACCTCATTCTTCCTCCTCTTTGTGTTGTAAGACAAATGACTGTACACTCAGAAAACATTGATAAGGCCATAAAGATAAGTTAGACAAACAAAGAAGCAGAGAGGACATTTATATTTTTAATATATTGCCTCTCTGATCTGTACCGGTGACTTTACAAGTCTCAAATGCTGGGTTTGCACCACCACCAGAGGGAAATGCATACAAGTTCATCAGCCCTTGGCACTGCTTGAGACCTGGGTCCTGCTCTCCAGAGCTGAGGGCAGCAGCAGTGGCTGCGAGGCAGCATGTGGAGCTGGACCAGCTGCATTTTGGCAGGGAATTGCAGACCCCTGATGTTACAGTCAGAGCAGCCACTGGAAATGCAGTTTGTTCTTCAATGCATCCTTGACTGAGGGTATGAGGCTGCACCTGCAATTGTCTCTGTTCGTGGCAAGACTGAAAAGAGTTCTCTGAAGCAGGGATGAAATCCAAGCTTGCATCTGATCCTTTTGCTGCCTCTTTTCAAGTTCTGGGATTCCTGTCCCTGGGAATCCATAGGGATGGCCAAACACTGCAACAGCCCCCATGTCCATCACAGTGAGTGGCATTTCATGAAGTTGTTAATTTGTCACCCACTCCCAGGTGTTCCCCTACACACAAGCACACACAGACTCAGGGATGGTTTATGGCCAGATTTTCTCTCAGCTCTTCTTAGCAGAGAAAAATAGCAGGTACAGAGATTCTGCAGATAGAAGTTGGGGGGGGGGGGGAAGGAAAAAAAAAAAAGTTTCCTAGTGTCACAGTTGAATGGTCTTTAATGTTCTTAACCTGACTATTTTGAAGCTGCTGAGTCTCACCCAAGGTGAGAAAGACAGTCAGCTGTGGGGCTCTGCAGCAGGGCACACCTGAGGAGCAGTAAACTGGGCAGCACCCAAGTGTCTGTCACCCTCACACTGGAGACAGTTATTGAACACATTTGCAGTCTGGCAAGCACCAAGTCCGTGACATGATCTCTTGGTGCTTCCTGGCACAGGAATCTCCATCTCTTCTGCCATTCCTCTACCTATGGCCAAGCAAGCAGCCAGCTCAGTCAAGCATACCTTAAAACCACATTTCAGTCTCTAAGTGACACTTTAAACCTGGTATTGTTCTACCTCTCCCCTAAGCCACAAAAAATTCAATACTTCCTCTTGAATGTGCTTGTCTTTGCCTTACCATCACTTTATCATCAACATACAGCAGAAAGTAATCATCCAATTAACACAGGCTCAGTAAATAACCCTAGAACAGCTGAAAAACAACTCCAAGGCAGACAAACAGCTCTGCCCTTAAGAAGGCTGTCCTACTTTTATGCAGTTATATGAAACACCCCCGAGCCCAGGGGATAGATAAATTTCAATGTCAGGCTTTCCCCATTTTCCAGCCCAGTTTCAGTGGTTTATCCCATTGCACACTTTTACATGAAACCTACTGGTGAATACTGCATGGAAACCTGTGACTCCTGATTGCTTTGGCTTCCTCCCTGGATTGCTCCGACAATCTTAACTTTGTGCTTCCTCAAGTTCTGTTTGCCTCTCATGTCATCAGACAATGAGCTCTACAGAGGAAGCTTTGGCATGGCTGTGCCCAGCTAATACCATTCAGGTGGATCTTGACAGCTTTGCTGCAATGGCTTGTGAAAGCCCCTGATCAGAGCTAGGGCCAACTGAAGGTCTGCCAAAGCCCACAAAAAAATAATCAGGTTTTATCCCTGAGGATAACTGAGTAGCACTTAAGACTAAAACAGCATGTTCTGCAAAAACACCTTAAGAGAAAATGGCAAAAAGGTTATATAAACCAACAGAACATTTACATTAGGACACAGGCCCAAGAAAAGTACAATAAGCCATTGTTAGTTACAAATCATCTTGAAAAGTACATGCCAGCCATGAGCTCTAATAGCACGGAGGTACGATGGCCTCATTCCCTGGTACAATACCCACAGTATCTCCAAGTCAGGAACATGTGCATGCAGTCTATTCATCCAGCTCGACAATTCAAAGAGTGACTTTCCAAACTGATCCAAATAATTGTGTTGTTCTCTGGTAAACTACAATAGGACATTGAATCAGGGAGGCAGTAGCTGTAGTGCAGAAGAAACCCCTTAATCCTGAAATATTGACCTTGCAATAGCTTTGGTGACCTTGTGTGGAGCTAGTGATAGTGGCTGGACCTATGCTGCCAACAGATGAAGGGCAGTCCCCGGGTCTCCCTACCAGCCATATGGACACTAAAGTGACAGCAATTATATCACCAAGTCCTGAGCTCCTTGGCCTCAAAAAAGTAGGCAAAACATTATTATGAGGCAGAACTGCTTTCCTATGACTTGTTATATATTCAGTTAAAACTGGTCATAAGTGAACCTCTTTGTCCTTTTCATTCCTGAGTGACTTTAGATTACAGTGAGGGCTGTACTGGGGCTGTGTCTAACCCCAGGGGAGATACTGCCCACCAGGCTCTGAGATATTGTTACATTAATACATCAGATATTTCATTAGTGGACACTTCTGCTGGTTTTGACCCCAAAGAGAGTTTGACACTCCCCTCCTGTAGATTATATTCTGTAACAGCACATGGCACCGATGTCAATTCAGTGGAGACAGGCTGGGATCACCACTCCTGACAGCAGCTGCTGCCTCTTTTACAGGACAGGCTGCACAGGGCAGTGGGACCCAGGACAGGGTCACCTCTCCACTAGGCAACAAATTTCCCTTTCTAGCTCACAACAAGAAAGTGCTCTTCCTGAGAACAAACCAACACCCACATCCTAGACATCCACACTACGCAGGTGGACTATGTCCTCAAGGTGAATTTTCCCTTGTGCTGACTATAAAGACAGAGTCCATGATCAGGTCATCCAGAGATATTAATGGTTAGATGAGACTAATGCTGACAAGGAGACTCTGAGAAGAAAACAGATTGGGAGCTCCAAAGGGAGGCCAGGCCCTCATCAGAGCAGGGATGGCACTGATACCCGGCAGGAAAAGATTTACCCACATTGTTTGGAAGAGCAGAACATCACCAGAAGAACATATATGCACCACTAAGTACCATGTCAGGGAGGAAAAGGGGTAAAAGGGATAAGACATGGACCCAGGACAGATAAACATTGCCAAGTGAGTTTATTGAACAAGTGTTTCAGGAGCTCAGGAAATGAGACAAAGTGAAGTGAAGTTGTTGGAGACAATCAGCCTCTGGGAAGTCATGTGCAGGTATCTTGTCTTCCTGGGCTAGACTCCAGCACAAACTTAACACTCAGTCATACTCATAAGGTTGAGAGTCCTACCACTTGACCTGGTGAGAAAAGGAGAGAGAAGGATTAGACACAGAGCATATTCAGTGCTGAAGACCTGTTCCTCACTTCACCAGCCTAAGTGTTGGCTCAGTATTGACTGGAGATATAGAAAAGTCTGAAAAGCCCAAAATACTCCCGTTACTTATTGTCATTGAAGGAAAGATAATAGGTTTCACACATTTGATGCAACTCAGTTGGCTTGGTGAAGTACTCTCCACATGCCCTGATGAGCTTGTGGGACAGATTGTGTGCTGGTGAAAATAAGTAAAATATCTTTGAAGCTAACAAACAGAAGGCTACATACAGATCACAGAAATGGGCCCTTGGCATTTAACCTTAAAATGTAAAAAATCTCCTTGCACAAGTCGTGGTGCCCCAGAAACGTCCAGTATAAACCCATCAGCAGTTAGTCAAAAACACATTATGAACAGTAGTAGGTACAGACTGATCATGAAAAGAAGGAGTTTGCTCTTGTACATACAGGTAGGCGTTGCAGAAAGCACACTTGTTGCTGTAGGTTGTGCCGTCGGAGCCGCAGTGGGGCATGTATTCCGCGGTGCAAATGGGGGAGATGACGTCCCAGCCCTTGCAGTAATCCTGCACGTGGAAGACAGACATGAGCCTCTCCGCCCGAGAGCAAAACACGGTTCCCCAAGCACAAGGAACGACAACCCACTGAGAAATTAAACTTCTGTAACATCATAATAACCAACTCAAAGTTGCCTCTCAGACTATTTCTGCCCACTGCCATGTCTCTCCCTGCACAGTTATGGAGCAATGGGAGGGATATCGGCTGTTTTATGACCAGCGTCAAATTCCCAAGGGATCTCCCCAGGTCTCCACACCACCACTCCCCAAGTTTGTAACCTAGAGGAGAGGACAGTCCCCCACAAATGTAACAGACTCTGGGCCTTGCTTTTTGTTCCCATCCTCTCCCACTCACTTTTGTAACATCCTCTTCACAGCGTCCATTCTTTCTTTTGCCAAGATCAGTCCGATGTTCACTGGAGTAAGAAGAGCATCATTAGCAACAACCTTCCCCACTGCAACTGAAGTGTGAGAACATCACCTCAGTCCCACCTAGTGCACAGGAGATTTTCAGATGAATTAGTGTAACCTTGCCTGCACAGCACTAGCCAGAAGGTGCCCTTATGGACCAGGCACATGTCTTTTGGAATAACCCTATTCCCATTTGAGGCATCCCCCTTCGTGAAGTCCTGGGATCAAACACCGATATGAAACACCAAGCAGAACAATAGAAGCAGACAGACAGGAACCACCCAGCACCAGGTTTTAGAGACAGTCTTTGCACGTTACTTGGCACTCAAAGATGGATCCAAAGACCGCCACTGAGAATTCCCCAGGGAGAAGGACAAGTACTCACAGGTTGTGGGCACACAGTGTGCACTCGCTGGCGTAAGTGACGCCATCAGTACCGCAGACGGGATCGTAGATCATGGTGCAGGCCATCAGCTGCTTGCCATCCTTCGTGGAGGCGGTTGGGTACTGGGTGCAGTTCAGCTGGGGACAAAGATGGCAAAAGCTCCAGCAAAAGTTCTGCTCTGTGCAAGGGCTCCCAGACACACCCCCCCTGCTTATGGCTCTGTCTTTTAGGATCTGCCACAGAATGAATTATGGCTATAGATTAACTCATTCTTCCTAGAATACTAGCAATTCCTTTTCATAGCCTTATGACTGAATCAAGTCTTGGAGGCAGACATCACTCAACTTAGCTTCATATTTATCATGATGCCCGTACACCTTGCTGAACCTACCAGGATATTATGCAGCTCAAAATTATTTGCAAGTCAAAATGGATTGATTGATGCACTTCCTGCGAGACAGATAATGGTGACCAAGGGGTTTTCCACAGCCCACAAGAATGGAGGGGGGACATGCTGACAGGCCTTTTGTTGCAAAAGGATGGCTTTGAGTGTTGAAATCTGCCAGCAGGACTGACAGCAGTTGAAGCTGATTTACACCAGTTGAAGAATGGGCCTTGTGTTTTAGCACTCCCAGTTCCTCCAGCGTGGGGCTCTTCCTCCCTGATTTATGTATCTCACCCAGCCGGAGCACAGAGCGTTCTCAGGAAACAAAGGAATGACATTTCATAGTTTGTTTGTATAGAAGTGAAATATCTGACTCGGGATGTTGACTCTTTCAAACACATGCTAATGAATGACTTTGTTCTTCCATTCTCCAATGAGTGTAAATACTTTAGAGCTGGTCAAATATAGTTAAACTGGTATTTTTACAAGATTCATTGTTAGTATACATTAAATAACAACATATTTTAAAAAAAAAAATTTAAAAGGGGGTTGAATCCCCTGTTATATTAGGTATCAGCATTCAAAAGCACAGGCAATTTTCTAATCTTTGCAGAACATCCTTTTGTAAAATGCAAGCATCCTGGGTGCTCTGCATCCCCTTCCCATACTGCCAAAACAGGCTGCTAATTTCCTGTGGCAGCTCTGATAGACTGCTGTGGGAAAGAGAGATCATCTTGTGAGGCTTTACATGATTTATGCTGCTACCTGTCTCATAGCTCATTCCTCACCTATCCTCGTTCTTTCCCTGACTACATGCAGGAAGTGCATGGTGTTCCTGCTGCCAGGAGGGTGATGTTCACCCACAAAAGGAAGGGCAGCACAAGCTGTGACCCCCAATGGAGGCCACAGCACCCAAACCAACCGTGTTTACCCAAGTTGTGCAATCAGCACCAGCTCAAGTTCTTACTTTTCTCAGATGTCACTTACTTGGTGAGCATCCTCTATGCACTTTCCATCATGCTTCTTGGAAACATCTGTTCCAGATTTACTGGAAGAGAAAGCATAGTTAAAAATGTTCAAAAAGTAACTTTACTGAGCTCTCAGGGGGTGACCTCCAGGGCTTACATGTTATGGGCACAGAGAGCACAGTCATTGCTGTAGGTGACACCATCTGTCCCACAGATCTCACGCAGGATGTAGGGGCAGGCTATGAGTTCTTCCCCAGTTTCAGTTTTGCTCACGTATGCACTGCACTCAACCTGGGGACATAAAATAACAGTGCTAGATCAGCTGCTAGGACATGAAATAGTACCTCATCTGCAATCTGATCACACAGATCCTTCAATTTTTAAAGGCTTCTGCTAGAGGAAAATCAGAGTATTTTTAAGTTTAGTCTTCCAGTGCAATTAAGTAATTGTAGTTGGGTTTGGCAATGCCTGCTACCAAAGGGAAGACAGGAACAACTGGCCAAAAAGATTATTTTCCTAGAGTAGTACATATGCAGGTTTTTTAAAACAAGCATTTAACCTGAGGAATCTGATTTGAAGTGTTTTCTATTAAGACCAGGATGACATAGTTAACTAAATGCAGGATTTTGTTTCAGCTTTTCCAAAAGAGCAGCAAGAGCTGTTTCACCAGCTCTTTTTGAAAAAATATTAAATATATATTAAATCTAACAGCTTAAATATTTGAGGAGAAATAGACAAACAAATATTGAAAGTCAATCTGCACTAGCTAAGCATCACTGCCACTTCACTGTCATTTTGCATAGTTTCCTCAGTGCAGCATCTCTTATTACCCGTATTTCCCACATGGTCTAAGAGCAAATTAAAGCAAAGAGAGCATTTTAATAATGTATTGTTAGTATAGAAAATATATTGCAGTCCCTTGAGATGCACGAAATTATTTTTGGTGCTTTAGAGCTGCTCTACATAAGCAGAATAAACGTTTTGAGATATTATCAGCACATATTGTCACTGCACAGGATAATAAAGCTATTTCTGTATGCATTTCTGAGAGCAGATTTTTCCAGGCTGACCAGAGCATGAGCATTTTTTAACCTGCCTGTCTAGTGGAATAGAAATCCTAGCACTGAATCAATACATGGACATCTAACACGGCCTTCTATCTTCCTCTCTTCCTGTGCTAAAATGGGCTGCCTCTGATGATTTCTGGTCAGAGATCTGCAGTACTGGGACATTTTGTTTCTGAAGTCCTGGCCTGTTCCCATTCTCTCTTGCCTGCATGTACAGCACTTTGGCAGCTAGGGAGAACAGCAGCACCATCAGGAATACCAGGTATCAGCCCTCTGTGCATCCAGAAACACAGCACATGCCCTGACCCCAGCCAGGATCTTCCTCGAGACTGGAGGGAGAGTAAGGGATGTTTTTTATTTTATAGCCAGATACACTTACAGGAGTACTTTCCTTCTTGCATCTTCCCTCATGGCTTTTCTTCACATGAGTCCCAAGTGCTCTGAAAGGAGAGGCTGGTGTTAGCGTGGCCACCACCAAAGTCCTGTGACACCCAAGGGCCACAAAGCAAACCAAACTCAGAGCCAATACACATGATAAAGGAGGCATCTGATTGCCTACTGAACCAGCTTCTCCCAGTCACTAGCAAGAATAATACTAAGTGGTAACAGACTTATCAGGTCTCCTCTCAGTGTGCTGCACAGCAGCCCCATCCACTCTTTCGTCTACCCACACCACACAGCCCTCAGTGTGTTCAGACTGAGGCTTGGCTCTCCCACAGCTCCCCAAGCACAAAGCAGCCATCTAGGAACAAAATCCAGGTGTCAGCGCTTCAGGAGGTTGAAAAAAAAAAAAAAAAAAGACAGATATAAATGCATTGGTATTGAAAGAAAAGCCATTTGGAGTACTAACCATGGCTAGTCACCCCAAAAGAGAGTCCTCTGTACAGCACTTACACGTTATGGGCACAGACACCACATTCGTTGTCATAAGTAAATCCATCTGTGCCACAGACTGGGAGCAGGATCCTTGGGCAGATCACCTGGGGCTTACCACCCTTAAATGTTCTTGTGGCATATTGGCTGCAATCAATCTACAAAAAGCAGGAGTGTCAAACCTGGGGAAGTCCTTGTTCTCCAAGAAAAACCCCAAAGTAACCTCTTGTCTTTGATGCTGAGAGAATAATAGTGCTACACTTCAGTGTTCCCAAAACCAGGCTGGGTTCATTCTGCATGAGCCCTCTGAGGTACAGAGGGGTCTGCAGAGCTCTGCATGGCTTGTGAGGTACCAGATTACTTAGGTAATAACTCAGTCATTCCTAGATGGAAAAGATGCCAGAATCTATTCTGCAGAATAGACATAAGCAGAACACCAAAACATTGAAGGAATTTAGACTCTGCCAACAATACATCTGAACAGCAGCCTCAAAGGAAGATCTAAGCCCAAACTGACCAACTTCCACAATTATGTGTTGGCATCTTCTGAACACCAGCTCTGGGAGCTGTCTACTGATACACTCAGATCAAAACTGGAGGTGTGCTCCTTATACCAGACTATATCCCCACCCCAAAGGTTTGACTTCTTAACGCAAACTGTGCCCAGCTCCCATGCAGCCCATCTGCCAGGGCTGTGTGGGCAAGGAGGGCCCAGAGGGCACCTGTCTCAAGACAGATGGGATTTGTAGGCATCCTCAGCACAAGGGGCTGATGACTTAATAGACATGTAGATAAAGCCAGGCTTCAGGCCAGCTCTCTTTCAGAGCAGAGGCAGCCTCAGGAAACATTTCAGTTGATACAGCAAAGAGGATAAAAATGCTTTATATTGAATACTTACTTCGGAAGACTTGGTTCTGCAATTTCCACTATGCTTCACACTAACATGGGTCCTGTGTTCTCTGGAAGAGGAAACAATTAAGTTGAGGAACTAAATGCATAACCTCTTGGTCAGTCATATGCAAAATGAAGCAAACTGTGGCCTCAGACTCTGTGTCAGAATAGCTATATTAGTCATTAACAATCACACTGCATCTTTTCAAAACATGCAATTTAAAGCAATATTCTGAATTATGCAGTCACTGCCCAGCCCACAGATTAAGGAAGAACCTGCCATCTGACTCTTCAAGGTTTCCCCTCATGAGCACAAAAATTATATCAGAAGGAAACTCGAGGAAAATCCAAAACAAATGCAGTCTTTAAGAGACTTGAAGAAACAGGCATAAGCAGAAATGCAGGAGGAAGATTCTCAGGGCTGCAAAGCACTGCTGGCTACTGAGGAGCAGTGCTCTACCTGTGGCACTTACCCATTGTGGGCACAGATCCCACATTCATTATCATACGTGATGCCATCTGTGCCGCAAACTGGACTTAGAATCCTTGGACAGGCTACTAAAACTTTACCATCATCAGTGACTACTGATGGGTACTGATTGCAGTCAACCTGTCAAAATAAGGAGAATAAGCTCTGGTAAATCACTTGCTATGCAAGAAAAGTTGATGCCAAAACTTTTCATTCTATATCCCAACCTCCATTGTATCTGTAACAGGACAAAGCCCTGATACAATGAAGTTAAATCTTCAAATCAGAAACTAGCTTTCTGAATATTACCCTAACTCTAGGAATCAAGGAATAGGACTACTCTGGAGAACAGATCCTTCAGACAGAAGAACATGTGCAAAATCCAGGACACATTCTCATTAAAAAAAAAAAAAAAAAGAAGTATTTAATTTAGTGGGAAACATTTCTCACCAGCTGGAAATCTAATACTGTTTTGGTTTGTTTTGGTTTTCTCCCCAGTTCTACAGCTCTGTGATTACTCATTACATCTGATTCCCCCTAATTAAGCACAGGGTTTGAAAGGACTGAGAAAAAAATGTTATCACAATTTGGGTGTAGGCTGTCTAGATCCAAGAATTTTCATGCTGAAATATAGAAGATTCTCTTCCTCAGGCACCAGACTGTTGGCCCTGTACAAATAAACTGTACTCTAGAAATGTGTGTGCTGAGTGGTCTTATGATTCTCACTATGTCTGTGAAAGCAACCAGCACGGGAGTTCTGAATGCACAGGGTGGAAATACTTGTGCTCTGCAAACAGAAAACTGCCAACCTGCACAGCATACTGGCAAGTGAAATCTTTTTCCCTGGGCACAAATGCCAGGTTAGTACATAGGGAAGCAAGTTCTGCAGCACTGACTCACTGCAGCTTCTCACTTTATATCCATCTCTTTTCTCCTTCCTTGCTTGGGTGGGGTCTGCATGGGGTGGCCCTCTCTCTGGAGCAGGGAAGGTGCAAAATCCACCCTCGCTGTTCAGAAAGACAAGTCATGGATAAGAGGCTTTGTAAGCCTTGTCATATTGCTCTCTTGCATTTCCCTAGGGAAATTCATGGAGTTCTCAAGATTCCTTTATTAACAACCCTAAGAAATGGATTTTTCACTTCTATTGCACTTACATTGCCAAACTCGTGTCTGCATTCTCCATCATGTATTTTGGTAACGTTGGTGTCATGTTGTCTGAAATAAAGAAAGAAATGCTTTGGTCAGGAAGCCTTGAGAATAACTTTCCCATCACACTCTAGGCACTATGACAAGCAAGCAAGGTCCCACCTGCCTTGTGGGACACTGTAATTGCTTGATTTGTCTGAAATGCACCGTGCAGATGGTAGCAACAAATGCACAGTTACCATGTGATATGAAAATACTAAGTGTTAGGAGTAATTAGGTGTTACAAGTAACACTTTGATCTGTTCAAGGCCCTGCTCTGGGCTGTCCTCTGGTTCTTTTGTGATTCGCCTCATGAGCACAGACAGAACATGAAGGATAAAACTCAGGAATTATAAGCAGCCATCTCCAAAGAGGCCTACTGAGAGACCTGCCTTAAGACAGAGCAGTCTTACAGAAGTGTTTCTGAGAGCCTTGACAACTGCTAATTATCCAGAAGGATGTTCTATGCACAAGACTTACGCATTATAGGCACACAACCCACATTCGTTTTCATAAGTTTGGCTGTCTGAGCCACAGACTGGTGCCAGGATCCTTGGGCATGCTACCAGGACATGGCCATCTAGTTCAGTTCTTTTGTACTTACTGCAATCAATCTAAAAAAATAGCAGGAATAGATTAAAAAAAAACCAAAACAACAAAACCACACATATTTTCAATATAAAGATATAACACTGCTTCCTGGTCTGCTTACTCTCTCTTGGCCTTTAGGGACAAAACCAGCATCAAACT